GCAAACCAAGTCAGCCCTCGCCAACATGATGCACCAAGTCATCCTCACTTGTAATTGGCAACGAGTGGAGCTGGCTCGGCAGGCATATACCATTGCTGAGTATGAGGAGACTCTCAAGAGCCTCCATGCCCTCCTTGACGTGTTGGAAAAGGATGATGTGCCGCACAGGCACTCGACATCATCAAGCATTGATCCATCGTTCCGCGAGCTCGAAGAACGAATGGGTCACCTAGTAGCACTCGTCGAAAATTTGAATAGTTTCCGACAACTGGCGACCATCAGCCAGCAATAGCCGCCCTGCAAGCGGAACTGCGTCAGCTGCGGCAGCAACCAACTGGAACCGGCAACAACAACCAACTACGACCGGCAGCAACCTGACATCGAAACAATTCAGGATGCCGAAGTTCAACATCGACAAATTTGATGAGTACCACAAGGCAGACCCTAAGTTGGTGGCAAGGGTTCACCAACGAGCTCTCCATCCACTTGGTCCCGACAGAGTCGAAGATCTCAGCACTCTACCTCTTCAGCACCGGTGCCAGCCAAGTGTAACTCAACCACCTGGCTCAAACCGAAGGCGTCGAAGTCTCTAAGCTTTACACCAAGAGGGTTTCTGAACAGGAGGATGGGCACCCCGGGTGGGGAAGGCTCAGAATCCTGGTGTTTATTTTAATGCGTTGTGGTGCGTGTTTTCTTCTGAGGGAGTAACGGCATAAGACTAAGCGTACCCTAGGGTTAGGGCGGCTTAGCCATGAGCCATGAACTAAATGGTCAGCCAGAGTATAAGACCTAATATATATACAATTTGAACTTATACTTCTGACAGACCGGGCGCCCCGGGTGGGGAAAGTCTGTCAGTAAGTCAGGTAGAACTAAGGAAGAGAGAAAAAGATGAAGAGTAAAACAAAGGTAGCTGGGCAGACTGAACGTACCCTAGGGTTAGGGCGGTTCAGTTATATGATAAGGATAACACTAAGGAGCAGAGAGTTAGTATAAATCTGATTTTATTTCCCCTTCTAAACATGAGGCAGGATCGGAAGTTCCATTTATTGGAAAGGTCCTATCGACTGCTTAATAAGAGAAGCAAAAACATAAAGTCTGTGAAAGTATTTGTACCCTATTTTATGTTGTATGGCCAACTAGGCGTACCCTAGGGTTAGGGCGGCCTAGCGATAAGCTTTTGTCGTTTAAAGTAAGTTGGACGTACCCTAGGGTTAGGGCGGTCCAGCGTTTCGGTGTTTATAACTATTCAGGCAGATCAGGCACACTTTAGGGTTAGGGCAGCTTGATCACATTGCCTTATGTAACTGAAACTGTTGTGGCTAGCTAGGCGTACCCTAGGGTTAGGGCGGCCTAGTGATATGCCTTTGTCGTTGATGTGATGTGGGTTGGACGTACCCTAGGGTTAGGGCGGTCCAACTTTTTGTCGTTTGTACTTATGTTCAGGCAAGCTAGACCTACCCCTAGGAAGGGATGGTCTAGAATGATGTCGTATGTAACTTTGTTTGAAGCAGATTGGGCACACCCTAGGGTTAGGGCAACCTGGTTCTATGCTATTTGTCGTCAGTTAGGCAGAAGCCAGACGTACCCTAGGGTTAGGGCGATATGATCATATGCCTTATGTGTACAGTTCATGTTATGTTGGGCATACCCTAGGGTTAGGGCAGTCCAAATGTGCGTCCTTTACTTGTGTACCTAGGCAGGTCAGGCATACCCTAGGGTTAGGGCCTTGTCTGACCGTATGTCATAGCAAAGGAGGATGTAAAAGGGAAGGAACTAAGCGATTTAACGAACTACTTGGACTAAATTAATGTGGGATTGTGAGAGATGTTTGGTTATGCATGCTTATGGGCTCTCACTCTGGGGCACCTCTTTGATAGTTTAGTTGTTTTAGGTGCTCGCCGAGTGTTAAAGCTATAGGCAGGTAGGATGGATGATGGGAGGGAAAGTTTGGGATAAGATAGGACTGGCTCTACTAGGAGTTAGGATCAGTGTCATCGCACAGCCTCATCAAGAGGTCGTACAGGTTATTGCTGATCCTACCTTCCAAGTAAGTGTCAGAAGTTAGTCCCAAATATAGTTATGCCTTGTCTTTTCAGTTTCAGCTTTGTATAAATCTTGACAACCTCCTGTTCCTACGGGAAGCGCTGCCGAAATTTCTACAAATCTGAAAAAGTTAGTCATTTTTTGGACTCGTAGAAATTCTGGAAAGACACTTTTCCTACGGGAAGCGCTGCCGAAATTTCACAGAATTTAGGGAGTTAGATTATTATTAGCTAAGAGAGACTTGACAGATCCACCCTGGATAGGGGGGGGCTGGATAGGGGATATGCTGCCAAATCCTCTCAGTGACTTGGCGTTAGTGAGCGAAGTTGAACGTGAGACTGATAGAGGAGCTAGGGTACAAATTGTGGAACTATCCTCTACTTGGGTTGAACATAGTAGTGGTTCTCTTTGACCTATACTGTGATGCAGGTTTTCACATCCGATTGAAGGCTCCAATTGTTCGGCCTGATTCTACGAAGGGATCACTTGTCTGTTATCACTGATAACAGGTCGGTTGCCGATTCGTCGGTTTACGACTCAACTTTCCTATTTCTCCTGCCTCTCAACCTAAGGCCTTGGCCCGTGCCAGGATTTGTGTGTTTCTTTGGGTTTTCACCCAGCTTCTTTATAAATGGTCATTTCTGAAAGACTGAGTACCTTTGTTAAGGATTGATGGGGAAATGGTTGGGCTTGAGTGCATAAGGCAGGGTGTGAGCTGCAGGAGGCTGAAAAGTTGACCCCYTTAGCGCGTGTRATGTTCTTTGAATGTWGTGTATATGATTGCAGGTATTTATGGAAGAGTCTCATTTGAATCATGAGTGAGTGATTATGTTTTGAATTCAGATGGGCAAACCACACAATTGTCGTGAGAGTGTACTACCCCACAACCTGTTGTTTGGGTGAGATTGTTCTTTTCCAGCCCGATGATGTGATAATCARAGTAAGCGTACGCTCGGGTAACCCTTATGGGGCTATGCGACCGCACKYTTGCRTCCTTCTATTCTCTTTGACTTCGTGTGGTAGGGCAGTTGTCCCAARCCTGGAAACCAAGATCCTTGTCYGGGACGTCCCAGGCCCCAGACTAACATTAAARGTATTTTCTTCCGATAGTGTTAAGAGCATTTGTTTTTCATCCTTGTTAAGGTTATTTTGGTGGAACGGCAAAGGTTCCGGGCAGAAGGATTAGCGTATCGCTGGTGATGCGCCAGACAACTCACCACCGCTCCGAATTCCTTCCTGCCCTATGGACCATCTTACCCCGCACCCTTTGGGGTACCTCAGGGTGCAGAAGATGGTAAGGCCCTCAAGCCGGTCCTGCGCTTGCTAAAGGTTTACCCCCTTAGCGTGCGCTTCAGCCAACGCCTGAGCATCGATAGCGACTCCATGACTCAAAAGAGGCCACTCGTGTATGGGCATCACATAGTGCGCCGACATCACGACTGCGTGCGCAAATCCGCATTGTTGGTCGACATGCGTAGGTTCTGCGTCCGCACGACTTTATACTAGATCATACGCGCAACACTTACTGATTTCCGCGCTCTAAAGTTAGGGGTCATGCGGAGAAAGCAAAAGCACGTTATGGCCAGTAGGTCCGAGCTTCGGCCGCGCGAAGCGACACGTAGGCAGGGAACCATCCCTAATCGGCCTGTGGGGCCTCGCGTACGAGTCTCCAACATCTCGAACACCGGGCGGCCTATGGGCCTGATTTTGGACCTTAGCCGTGCGCACCCCTTCGCGTTGGCCTACCCCTTCCAGTTGGGACGGCTATCAGACTATCTGTAGTTGTTTCCTCCTTAAAGTCTTCGTGGTTGGACGTTGTAGTCCGTGGTAGCCGTCAAAGTCAAACCCCTTGATTTTGGCTACCACGACAACCCTAAAGCTGTCTACTCAACCCGTCTGCACAGGGTGCGGAAGAGGGTGTGGTCTTCAACCGCACATGGCGGTTGTCTGGCGTCGAGAGATTACCCCTCAAAGCGCCTGTGAGCCAACACTTGAGCGTTAAACGCGATCCTCGAGATTATCAAGGGCCGCGAGGCTACGAGTACCACATAGTACCCCATCAGTGCGAATGCTTGCGTATGCCCGCATGGCAGATTGATATGAGGAGGCCATGCGCCCGCACAACTCTTATATAAAAATCTAGCGTGCGATACCTATCTGAGTCTCGTGGCACAAAATTATGGGTCGGATACTGAAGGGATTAGGAATATTGTGGTGTTGTGGCGTCGTTCAGGATATCTGTTTTGTGTATTTCCATGTGTTATGTGTGGGTAGATGTGAGTGTTGTGGTGTACGAGTAGTGTGCGTGATGCGTCCTAGTCGACCGGCGCCAAGTCGCGTTTGGGACCTCAGCCCCCCAGAACGTCAATTCGCGGACGGGTTCAATTTCTTTGGCGTTCGACCGCGCGTAACCCCCTATGCTACAGCAAATGAGAAACGCCCTCGGTTGGGCCACCTCTGCAATTGCATACGAAAAGCTTTCGCATGTGGTTCAATAGTTCGGCGGGGATACGCCCACCTAAGGGATGGTGACAACTCCCGCAGGTGGAGGAAAGCGGTGCCTCGCGTGACCCTGTCCTGTCGTAGGGGCTCGCGAGAGGTACGGCTGGCGCACTCGGTCGGAGCGGCAAACACTCTCTGCGATGAAGTCCTGCAAAATCCTGCGTGACGCGGCCGGGAGGGTCCCCGTGCGGGACCGAATCGCTCGACAGGTGGCGCCGTTGTCGGGGAATCTCGGCTGCCTACCGGGGTCCTTAAGAGAACGAACCCAGGTTAAGTGCACGCTGATGATCTAGACAAAACGACAAAAGTTTATGGTTTGGGTTGTCTTACGTGAGAGAATTGTGTATGAGATAATAATGAGACTAAGTGATTAGAAGTATGGCCAAGGTTGTATCTGAGGTTTCGAATAACTAATATTAGAGTGGTTGGCCGGACCTAGGGGTGGAACGGCTAGGTAGGACTTAGGGGTAGTCCTCTGGAACTTGACGAAAGCTATCTGATGGACTATCTTTTTTTTCTTCCTAGCAGGTTGTTTTGCAAAGGGGATAAAATATGCCGGACGCAGATGAAATCGAGCGGGGCCCGGCCGCTACGCCGGCAGACTTTGTCAAGGCCCTTGAAAAAAGGGAATTGGCACGACTTCAGGTGCCGAAAATTGACATCTTCCATTTTAAAGGGGACAGAGTATCTGAGTGGCTGGAGCTACTGGAACAAGTTACCGCCGAGGTACCCGAAGAAGACAAGTTCAAGTTCCTACCTCGATACATCTGGTGGGAAACCGGACCCGAGGTAATGAAGATAGCTGCTGGAGCAGGAGGAGACTGGGCTAAGTCCAAGGCAGAAATGCAGAGGCGGTTCAAGCTAGGGGATGGTTTATTAACGAAGACAGACTTGAAGATGTTACAACGAGACGAGTTCTCCACGGTGGGAGCTTTCGCAACGGCATTTGAGAAGATGGCAAAGAAAGTCCCCGGATTGGCGGAAGAAGAACAGTGTGCCACTTTCCTGGAACACTTCAAGAATTGGGAGGCCTCATCGCTAACCAAGAAGGTTGCGCCAGGAAAGAAGCTCACTTGGGCCGCCATAAAGGAGGGCGTGATAGAAGGAGAGTTGGACCAAGTAGACATCTTCCAAATGCGACACGCTAGGAAGAAGAGGAAGGCTTTGGATGCCTCGACAAGTGAAGGGAGAAATTTTAAGAGAATGGTAGAGGATGCTGTTGCCCAAATCGATGCAGAAAAGGAGGCAAAAAGAAAAACTATGGCGGCACCACAAACCCAAGGAAAAACAAAGAAGGCGGTGGTGCAAGAGGAGGAAGAAGAGGGGGAAGAGGAGCCTGAGCCTTAAAAGCTAACAAAGGCACAGAGGAAGGCCAAAAATCTGGCCCAAGGCGGACAAGGCTCAGGAAGAGGACAGACCCCGCAAGCAACAACACTGCCTCCCCCGGAGTCGCATGGCCAGGCCGCGCCAGCACCCTATGGGCCTTGGCCGGGTTATGGACCTCCAAGTCCTTGGCCTGGGCACTGTTCATACGTACCATGGCCAATGAGTGGACCACATGGATCATGCGCGGGAGCGCCGCTGAGCGCGGCTTCCTGCGGGTGTCCAGGACCCCAGACTCAACAAGTAAGTCACCCGAGCCCCCAGCCAAGCCAACCTCAACAGCGGGCACCACAGGGGTTGCAGGGAAATCAAGGCGGCGGACGTCGACAGAACCAAGGATGGGGCCGAGGGCGAGGAAATGGCGGTCGCGGGGGAAATGGGAGAGGAAATGGGGGTGGCAATTCAAGTGGAAGAGGAAATGGGGGTGGCAATTCCGGTGGAGGAGGAAATGGGGATTCGCATGCGTCAGGGAATCAGAGTAGTCAGGACGACGGGCGAGGTTTTGGTAGAGGACGGATAAACTGGAGGAATGCCATTTGCTGGCATTGTGGGCAGAAGGGTCACACCATCAAGTTCTGCCATGTCCGAAGGAACGATGAAGATGAAGGGTTGATTAGTACCAACTACGACGGTGACATGTATGATAAGTTTGGATTCTACATTGACCCAGAGATCCCTGGTGGGTCGAGAAAGGAGGTCTTGAGACGAGTCGAGGCCGGCGAGCCGCCCGCTCCTCCGGCCATGTTTCGAATCTGGCAAGAGGAGGAGGTCCGTTCTGATGTAAGGGTTGAAGAAATAGGAGAAAATGAGGAAGTAGAGCAAGAAAGGAAAGCCGATACAGTCAAGGAAGGAACCTCTTAAGGTGGGAGACGCCGTGCTGCTGTACGACTCGTCCCTTGAGAAGCAGTGGTCGAGGAAATTGGACAAGCGGTGGTTAGGGTCGTATAGGATCACAAGGTGTGGCGAGCATGGAGCATACTAGATTGAAGAAATGAATGGAACGACATGGAAAGATTGGGTGTCAGGCTCGCGGTTGAAGAAGTTTGTCGCTCGAGATGAGGTGAGCATGGGTCCGACAATTTAGAATCCCTTTCTGTTAGGTATTACTAGATAGAGATATATATATGAGAAAATTGTGTATGTTTCTCAGTAAAATGGTGTGATAAAGTATAGTATTAAGATAGATTTATATACCTGTATTTATACATGTATGTATAGGTAGTTAAGGTAGATATGGGAGGGGAATGTCTGTCTCCTGTTTTGTTTGCCGAACCTGCTTACCCTCTGTGTGCTTTTGTCTATCTCTTCCTTGTTGCGCAGGCTTGACACCAGTTTTTGGGCAGCCATGCCAAGAGGGAGGGGAGGGGCAGGGCCAGTGGAAACCCCTCTGGGGGTTACCAGACAGGGAATGCAGATGAGGGCCAGGAGAGAGGACAGACCACCCATTTATACAGGAGACAACGTTGAGCTGTTCATGGTTGGGTTCAGGAGGCACGGTCATGAGTTTGAATGGGATAGTAGCAGGATGCTGTGGGAGGTGCGAGGAGCAGGCGAGTGGGCACAACCCCTTGCCAACTTCGTCAGGGAGTCGTTGACCTGGCAGGATTTTGAGAGGAAGATGGAGGGCTTGCACCCATCGCCACTAGGAAGGGATCGACAGCCCATCCGTTTCGATGCCACTAACCTGTGGGAATTCCTGAAGGGCTACGACGAGTTTGGAGACAGCATCAACGAGCCACCAAGCCCAGGGAGAGCAGCAATAGAGAGAGAAATCAGAGTCCAAATCAGACTCAAGAACATTGCGGAGCTGCACGAGAAGGTTGAGCAGGGAGAGCAGTCTGTGA